TGATTTTTGAGCCAGAAGCTTCATGTGTTTTCGGTCTGGTTTCTGTCGGCCCAGCCCAATCCTAATTCTTCCTTCCGTCAGCTATCACAGAATTAATTAATTAATTAATAGTAGGGGTAAGAATTGGCAATGGATACATCCATCCTTTATTTATAAATATTTTATTTATTTAGATAAATATTATATTTGAATTTAAAAAATTAAATAAGTAATAAATATAAAAATAATATATTTATAGATATTAAATTAAGTAATAAATACAAAAATTTAGAATTGTTTATTGAATTTACTTAACTAAGTTATTTAATTGATATGTCAATTATACATATAAGTTTTACTCACATTTATTGTATTTTATATACATATATAATTAATAATAATTTTTAAAAATAAAAATAATAAGATACAAGAACAAACCTTTAGCCAAAAAAAATACATACTTAATAATAATAACTCAAATAAATAATAAACTTTAATAACTCAAATAAATAATAAATTCTAAGTCAAACACATTATATAAACAATAATAAGAACTAATACAAGGTCTTTTTTTATAAATAAATATATACCTCTAAATTACATAATACCTATTAAATTATGTACCAAATAAAATTTTTTAAATATTTAGATAAATGCTAATCTAAAAGATTATATCTAAAAATTTTTAAATTATGTATTAAATATAACTCATAACTTTCACAAAAAATACTCACCCTTAATTAATGGATTCCAATTTCCAGTCTTCCAAGTTTCACTTTCAAATATAAGTTTATTTAACTTGTTTGTTTAGAATACATGTTAAAAAAATATTAATTATATTTTTTTATAATTAATTTATATAAAAAAATAAAAATTGATTTTAAATTTATTAATTATCTAATTAAAATCATTTAAATAATATTAATGTTAAAAATAATATCTTATTTTTATAATTTTTTTATAATAATTTATTATAAAGTAATATATTTAATGTATTTTAATTTGTGTCCAAAATAGATAGATCTTTCAAATATTAAGTGAGACGAGTACAAGACGACTTGATTTCATTGAACGCACAGCGGAACGGTAAGAAGGATATGCTTGTTTGAATGTTCAAATTTCAAAGACTTTCAACATTATAAAGCTTGGTCAAATAAATTTTTTCTAACTTCTCAGTTCAAAAAAAAAATTTTACTAACTTCTAGATTTTACACTAATGTTTACTGTTAAAATTTCTTTGATAAATTCTGGAGTATCAATTTCTTAAGATTATCTTTTAATGGACTTTGATTGATTTTTTTGCAAAAAAAATATTATTTAAAGAATACTTTTACGAAAGTTTCAGCTAAGAAAAAAAATGTCACCTAGTCCACCCCATCCCTCTGTTGGCTCTGGTTGAAGAAAGGAATAGGATGGTAATTATAACTTAAAAGACTTCAACTTTTGTGTGACCTTAACATATTGTCCTGTTGCAGCATCTGAGGCCCTTCTAAAGGACACGGCAGTGGTGAAAACCCCAGATACCCATTTTAGGTATTGGGATTGGAATTTTCTATGATTAATTGCAATAAATGGACTTTATAGCTCTGCAATTCTGCGGATGAATACAATATACATTCCCCATTCCTGTGAAGACACATGGTAAATGCTCTGGGTTTCTGTTTTTGGGTTCTAGTCCTGGCAATGCCTTTCATTTCAACCCTCTCCCCAAACCCCATTCTAGTTTTACGAAAGGCTTTCGTTTTCTGTGCAAAAGTTTAATCCGTGTTCATGATTACCAACTTAGAAGCTTTCGTTTTCGTTTTCTCGTAGGAATTGAGAGTTTTGTTGAGCAAGAGTATCAAAAAGCAGAAAAATTAAACCTGAAGTTCTACCTTTATTTGGAAGTCACATGCGCATGTACTGATAAATGAATACCTTTATTATTTTTAATTTTCATTCAATTGTGTTGTAACATAGAAAATGGTAAACTAATATATGAGTCCTAATATTCGTTGACCGGAACTTGGGGTGTGTGTTGGATGAATCTTAAGGCTTGAAACTATATAGGAAAGGACATGGAGGAGCGGGAACCAGGACAGCACCTTCAAGCATCATAGTGATCGTATGCATGTTAGGCCTCTGTGATGGCTCATCCTGCACACACCACATTACCATCTTCACCAGCATATCCACTCTCCCCATATTCTTTCTTGCTTCTCCGTCATTTTCCACCAACTTCCCCAGATTCCCTTCGCTGTAGCGTTCATATGCCCATTCTGTTAGGGTCGCTGCCTCCTCCATCTCAAACCTGACACATCTTCTGCA